CCATATAAGCATATGGCACCTGCGCCTGCTTGTCATATTTCTTTTCCCACTTGACCGCTTGCGCGCAGAATTCAGCGTAGGTCATGAATCCCTCCTCTCCTGAAAAATCGTGTTGCCTACCAGGACCCTTGCTGGGCGCACCCACAACCGTATTGCCTGCGTCCTTCAGGGTAAAGGTTCGTGCGAATAGTGGTATGCCAAGGATTAGCTTCTCTGATATTTTGCTCTGCTCGACCCAGTGCCGGACACCTCGCTCCACACTTCTGCTGCCGTTTCCGTAGAGCGGCGAATTGTATTCAACCTTGGGGCCATAAGGATCTTGATTGTCATGGGTATTTAGGATAATAAAATCTGCGTGCTTCGCTATTCGAGGAATGTCATAAGACCGGAGAGTAGCATCATCCATTCTGGCGGAGACGGAAACCAACAGGAGAAATTTATGGTCCTGTAGACTGTTTGCCAAGATTAGGTGATGTTGGATTATTGTATAGGATAGTCGCTTACATAATCTTTAGCTCGTTTAATAGGTTCACAAAGTTGTCGCGATCCTCGGGTGTAGGATACTCCCAATCTAAGAGGACGCCACTACAGTTCCACTTGAAGAGGAATTTAATGAGTGATTTATAAAACTGATCGCGTTTGGGCATGCTCGCTGCCATCTCGGAGAACCTTTTCGCATCATCCTTTGTTCCAACGGAGATTATAGCATGGAAGTTATCATGTCTCATATTTAGGATACTGTCGAAGATCGCTGTTGCATTTTGGTCTTAGTTATTATGTAGGTAGCCATCTTTAAATTTAAAAAGTTATTTACCCCTTTTTTCGACCAATTGTGGGTTAACAATTTTCATGGCCCCAGATCCCTTCGGGTCCAAGCTGGCTACCGATCCATATACAAAATGCGTGCAAAGCTTTCTATCCAAGCTCCATAAATTGAAATGGCTAGATTTCTTGCGGTCGTAGGCCGCAGTATTCCAGTAGCAAAATATCGAATCTACATTTTTCAGAATTTCAGCTATATTCCTTGCGATCTCATTTAACTCGGCATGTACTCACACTTTTTGTCTGACGCCAGGGCAATGAGCAGCGAGCCCAGAATAAGGCAAAGTAGAAATAGGACTTTCATTATGCGAATCGAAATTGCATTAGGAAAACTTTCAATTTAAAATTCGTTTTTATAATAAATAATGTGTCAGTCCTTTCAGGAAATCTGTGATTCTTTTTGAAAATATGCGAAACGAATTTTTAGTGTTTAAGTTTAAGTTTTTGTTTAGGATATGCGATGTAGATGTAGCAAAGCGTGTAACATGTATGGCAAAGATTGCTTAAATTCGGGCTCATTTAGAAAATACTAAGTATTCCTAAAGAATCACAAATGCTTTGCTATTCCAAAATAACCGAATAGGTGTTTTTTTTAATCGACACATAGAAGCGCGAGCATATTGCACTTAAATAATTGTTTTATCATATTTAAAAATTTTTTCAACTTTTATCAAAATTTTTAACTTTGTCTCCCGTATTTCATATGTTAATAACACAAGTTTTAAGCAACCGTCGCCAAACATTTAACGAACCTTTTTACGACTTTCTTGTATCCAGACAAAATACTCAAACTTGAACTCTAAATTAGTTTCGCTAAAATATTTCAAAAGTTCTAACACAATACTCACAATAGAAACGAATATTAAATTTAAAGTATTTTCAATTCAGCTTTTTGATCGGCATAATGAAAGTGCCATTTGTAGTTTTCCTTATAGTTGATTCGCTGCTTTCAACCTTCGCGTCGGACACGAAGTGTGAGTAGATTCCGAGTGAATATGGCAAGGGATATAGCTGAAATCCCCAATTGTAGATTCGATATTTTGCCACTGGAATACTGAGGCCTACGAGCGCAAGGAAACTAGTTATTTTTATTCGTGGAGCGTAGATGCACGCCTTTGTACGCATTTGGTATTCGGGTCAGTTGCAAGCTTAGATCCGAAGGGATCAGGCGCCCTGAAGATTATCAATCAAAAGTTTGTCGACAATCGGAGTAAGTTACCATTTAAAGATGTCCAGCTATATAATAACTTTTAACTGGGATACTAGATGAAATCTTTAACATAAGGCGTCATCATAACTATAAACTATTAATTTCTGTTGGCGGCATGAAGGATGACGCGAGAATGTTCTCCAAAATGGCAACGAGCATGGCCAAACGCGATCAGTTTTATAAATCACTTATTAAATTCCTTTCTCAATGGAAGTGTAGTGGCGTCCTCTTAGATTGGGAGTATCCTACACCCGAGGATCGAGACAATTTTGTGAAGCTGTTAAAAGAGCTAAAGATTATGTAAGCGACTATCCTATACAATAATCCAACATCACCTGATCTTTCCAAACAGTCTAGAGGACCGTAACTTTCTCCTGTTGGTGTCCGTTTCTGCCAGGGTGGATGATGCTACTCTCCGGTCTTATGACATTCCTCGAATAGCGAAGCACGCAGATTTTATTATCCTAAATACTCATGACAATCAAGATCCTTATGGCCCCAAAGTTGAATACAACTCGCCGCTCTACGGAAACGGCAGCAGAAGTGTGGAGCGAGGTGTCCGGCACTGGGTCGAGCAGAGCAAAATATCAGAGAAGCTAATCCTTGGCATACCACTATTCGCGCGAACCTTTACCCTGAAGGACGCAGGCAATACGGTTGTTGGTGCGCCCAGCAAGGGTCCTGGTAGGCAGCACGTTTATTCTAGCCGGGCGGGATTCATGACGTTTGGCGAATTCTGCGTGCAAACGGCCAGATGGGAAATCAAATATGACAAGCAGGCGCAAGTGCCGTATGCTTATATGGATGACCAATGGATCACCTTCGAGAATGGCCGCAGTATAAGCGCAAAGATGCACCTAGCTAGGGAACAAGGGCTGGGTGGTGCGATGGTGTGGTCTATCGATGCGGACGACTTCCATGGTACATGCGGGGAAACATACGGACTGCTCAAGGTTGTCGTATCGTTCATAGGGAGCCCTAATATATTAACCACCAGAGCGCCTATAACTGACGGCTTCTGTCCGAAGGATGGATTTTTCCGCAACATATGGAATTGTCAAGAATATTATGAGTGCCGCGATGGCAGGCGCACTGACTACGAGTGCTTGGATGGGGAGTTCTTCGACGAGGAAGTTGGTCAGTGCAAGCCCTCTGCAGAGGTGAAATGCATACAGGATTTTGTCAATTGGCGCCCAGGTGAAAATGGCTACAGCTCAGAAAACTTGCCCTTAAATCTGAGGGTAGTCTAATAAGTGACTGTAAGATGATTTACACACATTGTACAAATAAATCCATTCGGTTGCGTACTTAAAATTTGTTTAGCACTTTACTAAATCTGAAAAGTTGCAGCTACTTGAGTTGTAGTCGAATTTAAGACCCGTGGGGCAATTAAACTTGAAAGTATTCCCAGCGTTACAATAATAGAATGTGGAACAGTTTTGCGGGTCCCTTACGTAGCCAACATTATCCTGGCAGCGATATTCCTCAATTTCGCTTTCTGCCGCTGGCTGCGGTCCAGCTTTCAGTCCAGTTGGACTGTCCATGCCAAAGAGCACACGATTGATTTGGGTCAAAAGTGGATATTTGTTACCGCCACAGCTCCCTCGGAAATCGTCCGACTCAAGTGACCAAATCATAATGCCACCAAGCTTATGCTCCAAAGCATACTCTGCCTTGAGCATTAAACTGCGTTCGTTCTCATAGCCCACCCACTGACGGTCTTTGAAGGCGTACGGCACCTGCTGCACTGCCTCCCATTCCTGCGTCCACTGTTCCTGTTGAAAGATTCGGCATAGCTCATTATAGCCCATAACGCCCGGCTCCCGCGAGAATGGTCCAGCAATGCCGCGACCTATATGCGATACGCCAGGCATATGCTGATCGGACGCAGCTAAAGTGAATGTGCGACCGTAAAAGGGCACTCCGAGTACCAACTTCTCTGGTGGTGCGCCAGCGCCTATCCAATATTTGACTACAGCATCCACATTTAGCTGCTTGTCGCGCTGCTTCACAGCGTTCGCTTCGCCGAACAGTGGCGCATTGATGCCCACAGTTTTATCCCAGGAACCATGCAGGTCATAGGCCATAACGTTGGTGAAATCCAAGTACTCAACTATAGCTGGTATATCATATGAAATCTCCGCTGAAAACTGAGCTGAGCCCACGGCAGCACTGAGAGTGTAGCCAAAGGGATCGAAGCCCGCCTTCAGCTCCTTGAGCAGGGTAACATAATTGTCGCGATCGTTATTAGCTAGCTTATGTCGCTGACCTGGATATTCCCAGTCCAAGTCCAGGCCATCGAAGCCATGTCGCTGCATAAACTGAACGATCTGCTCGATAAAACGGGAACGCCTCTCTGGATCGTTAGCCACAATCGAGAAGCGTTTAGAGCCCTCGTTCCATCCGCCAACAGCAACAAGCGTTTGCAGTGTAGGATTCTTCAATTTGAGCGCATTAAACTTCTTGATGTTGCCAAGGCCGCCGTTGTCCTCAAGATCCAGATAGGGATCAATAATACGCAGCTCGCCGCTCTCCTCAATGCCCAGAAAGGCGTACACCAAGTGTGTACAAAGAAACGGATCTATGTCCTCCACGCCAAACTTGCCCTCCTTCGGCCGGTAGACAGACCATGTGCCCTGATAGCACACGACGCGTTCTGGTTGCGGAGATATCTATGAGTATTAATGGGCATTTGCAGCAAAAGGACTTACTGCCCGGCGCCGTCGCTCCTGCAACAGCCATCAGCAACAAAAAAAGCAATGCTATGTGAGACCACATTTAACCTGAATCTGCGGAATCGTTTTAAAATAATACTTCACAAATTCGCCGTACATTCGCATTTTATACGTTCTGGATGGTGTCAATCAACAAGTTAATCGATAAGGGCAAGGTGTCGTCAAAGTAAAAGTTTGTATACATACATATGTGTACATATGCTACAACAACGTAGCAATAAAAATATTAAAAGTGTTTATTCTTGCACCAACAGCAAGGCAAATAGAATGAATTCTCGGTTGACTCGAGAACGGCGACTACGATTCACGATTTATTTAAACAAGAAATTGAAGGCCAAGCTAAAAGTGTGGCCAGCATCTAGCTTCAAATAAATACCTCACTTAAAACTTTTTCAGCTTGGACAATTGATTGTTGCGTCGCAGCGCCATTTTGCGCAGGCGGCGCCAGTACTGTTTAGTGTTTGGGTCCAGCTCTTCCAGCGGCACAATGCGTTCGGTATTAAGGGTCCACAGCCAGTCAGGGTACTCAGCGTCCGGCTTGAGCTGTAAATGTGCACTGGTTAGCTTCGGCAACAGCTATATTACATATGCACTTACCTTGATGTCCTCGCCGGTTTTCATGTAGTTGCTGCCGCAGACGTAGCTCACCAATTTGTTGGCGTCCGTTTCGACGGGCAAGACTTTCTTCTCCATTATGGGTCCTAGCTTGCCAAGCTTCTTCTTTTTGCCCGCTTTGTTGTTAATTGTTGCATTATCATCATGGGCACCGGCACATTACTGCGGACACTCACCTGCTCCCGCGGCAGCTGGCTTGACCGCATAATGGCGCACAGGTGTCGCTGTGAGTGCCAGACGCTGCCTCAGCAAATTGAACGCCAAACTCAGATTGTTCATTTTTGGTAGGCTTTACTTTCGGCTAAGATTCAAAATTCAATTGTAATTCCGAATACATGCAGCCTCATTTTAATAACAAATCCAACACTGTCCACATGGTTGTTGTATAACAGACTGCTAATGAATATACGGGCACACTTGTAGCAACCTATCGAAATCGTCCGCACACCGGCAAAGTACGATAACAAAATTATACAATTTGAGCAGATGCCATTGCCAAAATGCCCTCAATGAAGCTGCGGCTGCCATCGAATCGGACGCTGGGCAACATTTGTGTATATGGCGCCATTGTGTCCATTTCGGCTGTGATGTTCATGCGCTGGAAGCTGGAAGACCGCGTACGATCGACAGATTACTACAAATTGGCCCTTCAGACACTGCGACAGCACAAGGGTAAGCACACATTAAACCGGCCCGCCCATCGGTTGTAAACAATAACAATGAGAGAATTGCAGGGGCTGTTGGATTGCTGGGTGAACCTATTAAAGATTCGGGTTTTGACTTGTCCAATGTGAATAACACGTGTGACGCGGACAAGGCCCAATTCGAAATTTCAGTACGTGGCCCAAAGGATAAAGGCACCGTTTTCTTCTGGGCGACAAACAATCGGGAAAAGGGCTGGCTCATAGATCGATTGGAGCTGGAGGCTAAACTGCATCCCAACAAGAGATTTTTGCTCAAGAAACCGGATGAATATACCAAGCTCGAGAGTCAAAACCAGGAGATGCCAGAGGATCAATGTCAACAGAAGCCAACCGAATTACCTGCCGGCGAGCCCCATTACGAACGGCAAACGTATCCTCAACCACAGCCCCTCCATCAAACGGAGGAGCCAACGCCGTATGTCCAGACCGCAGATGGAGGCCGCATGCGATAAACAACGCTTGGCATTTATTTAAATTTGTCTATTCAAGCATTCTTAAACTTGTAATAATACAATTTTAGTATACAAATATTAAAAAAAAACCAAATCTTTTTTGTAAAAAAAAAGAAACGGTTTTTGTTTTGCTTAAGAAGCGCTCTGTTACTTTGATCGCGCACATTATTTGTAGTTTTGTAAATTAGCTTGCAATTGCAAATGTATGCGTTAATAAGCTGTTGTTGAATTCATTAAATTATTGTTCATTTTAATAAAATTGTTATAAATTGTTATCGTTACTTTAGTTTATACTGTTAATGTTGCAAGTTGCCGTCACTTAGGATCTAATCTGATGCCAGCTTCAGTGAGAGTCATGGGTTATATATGAACCAATGCTCTTCTAAGTCTATAATACATTATTGAAAGTGCATGTATACTATTATTAATATTATTAAAAACACGCGCTTAATGCTTTAATTAAACGATAAAGGCGACTCTTGGTGGCGATTGTGACTATAATGCGGTGTCTGTTTCGGTTTCGGTCTGGCGACAATCATCCAAGTTTAATTGATTTCATTCATTATGTAGCACATACATATGTACAGAGTTGATGTAATGTATGTGTGTGTGTGTGTGTGTGTGTGGATGTGTGTGTGTGTGTGTGTGTGTGTGTGGGTGTTTAAAGATACATATATCCACTTTCATCGTATTATAACAGATAGATGCATGCATGTTGTATATATATATATTTATATAGATGTATGTATGTGTAAAGGATAAGCAAATTAAAGACAATTATTAAATAAGCGCCAACATTTAACGATCGTAAATAGATAGTGTATGGTTCTTGCTGCGACTTTTGCCGCTCACTTTTCTCGCTTTGCCATTGCAAGTGGAAGACTGTTGGGTCTTTTTATCTGCGACTGCGCCGGCACTGCCATGGGCAACGGGTTGGCTGGCGTGCCTCCGGCTTCCGCTTGCTGCTCCTTGTCTTATTGCGTCTTTAGCTCTTTGCCAATGCTGTACGAAACGATTTTGCTCCAATCGATCTTAGTTCTGGTAATGGGCAGCTGTCGGCGCATCGCCTTGAACGTGGTGTCCGACATGGTTTGGTAGTTCTCCGAGATGGCTAGCTGATATTCGTTCTCCGCCTCTTCGATCAAACGTATAACCTCATTGGCCAATTGCTGTTCGTTGGACACAACAAGACTCTCACGGCAATCCTTTGATGACACCAGCTGAACATTGCCATCCTCGTAGTAGTGCACCTGCACCTTCAACACGCCCTTCAGTTCCGCCGTGCCGCTGCCAGCCTGGAAGCTGACGTGCCACTGCGAACGCCATCTGCCATTCCAGTAGTTCTTCGGCTGAAACTGATGGTCCTCAATGCAAACAGTCAGCGTCACCTGGTTGCCTTGCGACTTGCCAAACACGGAGCTTACCTGTGTGAAAATAAAGTTATCAAAATAAATCAAAAATCTAGAATACCCAGAGGTGTTCACTTACGCCGTGCCTGTAGTGATTGGCGGTATATGCAAGGGTGGCCAGATCCAGGGCAGCGCGCCACGACTCCGCGCTAGCATCGGCCTCCAAATCCTGGTAGTCGGACGCCTCTTTCCGTAGGTGGTCGTATTTGAAGGACTGCTTGGTGCGAGGATCATAGAAGCGACCGTTCCCTGCAAATATTAATAAATATTCACTTAAACCAATTTTACAAGAGTTAATATAGTATTAAAAAGAATATTTATAATCATTTTCGATAGAGAATAACAGAAATATTAATGAATTCGCGTGTTCAATGAATTCTTATCAATAACTAAATGTTGATAAAAATAAATTCCGAAATAACATTTCCGATGAAACAACATTTTTATCAAGGATTTCGTTTTAATTAATTGGAAAAAAATATATATATGTTAAATAATTAACTATCCATGTGCGAGCAGTTTTGAAGTTTAACATCGATTGTTTTCAGTGTAACCAAGTGTCGTCAGTGTTTGTATGTGTGTATGCATGTATGTTTGTATGTTTGCATGTGTGTGTGTGCATGTAGGTCTGTGTGTTTTGGCTGCATTTTGAAGCTTATGCCCATATATGGTAAGCCTCACAAAATATACGGGAACCAACTCTCACCAGCTGACGCCCACTCGCACTCCTTCCCCGAAAAAAAAACGTCGGTGTATGGATAATGTTGAAATACGCACCCAAATCGTTGTATTCGGAGATGATCGCGTTGTGTTCACTGCCCTCGACACGCACTGGCGTCAACTGATCCTTGTTGTATTGGGAGAAGGCGTGGCTAGCGCCATCCTTCAGCAAGGCATCGTTCTTTAGCAGCTCGCGGACGTCGTTGAAGACCTCATTGAATTCACCGGGCGGTGCATGCAATATAAAGTCGGAGACAATGCGTACCTTTTCCGCATCTGTAATCTGTGTTTGTTCCATAATTTCGTTGGTGATTCACGAATTTGGGGCAGTGTTTGGTTTTGATGATGTTGTTGTTATTTTTATACTATCGCAACTTGTCTTATTCCGTATGTGTGTGTATATGGGTATGCACGGCAACTGTAACTGGCATAGGTTTCCACCAAATTGGTTTTCAACTTATTTTATTTCTAGTAATATTAAAGTTAATCCGGCCTTTTTTCTTTTTCAAGCAATTAATGTGAAGACAATGAACGATGACGATGACAGAGTTTTTCGCTCAGTACTTTTTTAGTATTTTGCTAGAGCTGTATGTTTTCTATGTTGTCAGAAATATCGATATATCGATAGATGCGCTTAGTTATGGCGGAATGACACTTGACACTTTCTTTCGATATTTGACTGCTCACAAAAAAGTTCTAAATAATATTTTTTCATTCGTTTTATAGTTCATTGCAATTAAACAATTTTAAATAAAAATTATGAACAGTTTTAGATTATTGACTTTTAACATAGAATCATTCTGGTCAAAACAAAACCTTTTTAAGCTTAAATCAAATTTTAAAAATGTTTAAAAATCGACTTTTTAATCTAAATTTTATACTTAATTTGGAATTTCTTTGAAATGCAATTCAAAATAAGAATATATATATAGATAGTGAAAAATACAAACCAATAGACTCTAAATCTTGTTAGAATTTGATTTCAATATTCTTGTAATCTTTTTTCAGACATTAAAAACCTTCCATAATATCAGAGTCAATATATATTTACTATTTTCACAAACTGAATAAATTACTAAAAGAAATTTCTGCAATACTTGTAAATAAATATAGGACGATTCTTTAAATGCAAAAGCAACGCGAAATAACTTAATGAAAAAAATGAATAGACTTGTCCTCGAGAAGTTTGCAACCTTTGAATATTGTTTATAAATGACTAAGCTTTACTTTTTCTTCTTATTCTTGCTCTGCGCGGCAGCCGCTGGTGCGCCAGTCAGCGCCGCCAGCTCCTTCTTCAGATTTAGGAGCACGTCGAGCTCGGGCTTCCAAATGGTCGCATCCCCGCTGGCCTTTAGGCTGCGCACCTTCTCGCCCTGCTGTGCGATTTTGTCCTCCAGTGCTTTTATTTTACCCGCATCCACGGCGACGTTGGCTGGCACGGCAGATGCTGGCGCGGCAGCTGCAGGCGCTGCCTTGGCCGCGTCCAGTTGCTTCTTTAAGGCGAGCAGCACATTCACCTCGGGCTGCCAGACAGCCTTGTCTTTTGTGCTGGACTTGAGCTGACGCACCTTCTCGCCTTGCGCCTGCACAGCCTTCTCCAGATCTTGCACAGATTGTGTGGCTGCAGCTGGTGCCGCTGCTGGGGGCGTCGTCTTCTGCGCCGCTTCAAGCTGTTTCTTCAGTTCGAGCAGTTTGTTAACCTCCGGCTGCCAAACGGTCTTGTCTTTTGTGCTCGCCTTTAGTTGACGCACCTTGTCCGCCTGCGCCTGCACTGCTGCCTCCAGCTCAGCTGGTTGTTGCGGCGCCTCCGCCCTGGTTTCCTGCGTGCCGCCATATTTGCCCTTGAGCTCATCGATGAACGCCTGCTCCAATTTTGTGAACAGTGGTGAGGGCTTGCCAATCTTGTGGCCCGTCGGCAATAGGATGGTGGCCAAGGGTTTGCTAAAATTCAATTTTTAAAATTTATTGAAAATTTCCAGGACTATGCCCATTGGAGCTACTTACTTGGCGTCGAGTGGCGTTTGCTTGGCATTCAGCTGAGCGAACAGGTTGCGCGCCGTGCTGGGCATGTAGGGGAAGAGCAGGTTGGCCAGCAGACAGGCTATATTGGCGCACAGGCCAATGATGGTGGCAGCGCGAGACTTCTGCTCATCGTTGCCCTTGAGCAGCACCCAAGGCTGTTGGGTTTGCATGTAGCCATTGCCATGGCGTGAAATTGCCAGCAGATGACGTATGCCATCGCGCAGCTTGGCCTTCTCCAGGGAGTTGATGTAGCCACGCAGCTCGCGATTGATGAGCGCCAGGAGCACCAGCTCGTCCTGGTTGAGTGCAATTTGCGGCACAGTGCTATTGAAATTCTTCTCGCAGAAGACCAATGCGCGATTGACAAAGTTGCCCAAATTGTTGAGCAATTCGGAGTTGTTGCGTGCGGCCAAATCATTCCAGCTGAAGCTGGAATCCTGACCCTCTGGACGTGCCGATGCCAAATAGAAACGCCAAACGTCAGCGGGTATGCCCGTCTCCTGGGCGTCATTGCCAAAAACGCCAATGCCGCGACTCTTGCTGAATTTGCCATCCTCATAGTTGAGATATTCCGTGGCCATGATGTGGCTGACCAGCGTGTTGCCCTTGTTGATGGCAAGGAGCACACTGGGCCATACGACCGAATGGAAGGGCACATTGTCCTTGGCCATAAACTGGAACAGCTCCACATTAGTGCCAGCAGCAGGCTGCCACCACTGCAGATACTCATTGGTGTAGCGCTTGGTCATGGACACATAGCCAAACGGTGCATCGAACCACACATAGAAGACCTTCTTCTCAAAGTTCTTGTGCGGCACGGGTATGCCCCATTTGAGATCGCGCGTAATGCAGCGCGGCTTCAGGCCCTCGCGTAGCCAGGCTCGTGTTATGACCCGCGCATTATGCGTCCAGCCCTGTTCAACACGATCAACCCACTCGCGCAACTGCGGCTCCGCTTTGGGCAGATCCAGAAACAGTTGATCCGAGGAGCGTAGCACGGGCGCGCTGTTGCACACCTTGCAACGTGGACGCACCAATTCGGTGGCATTCACCAGCTTGCCGCACTTGTCGCACTGATCACCGCGTGCGTCCTCATAGCCACAGCCAGGATGCGGACAGGTGCCCTCCACAAAGCTGTGAAAAGGAAAATTAGACGCTTTTCAATTATTTACATATATCATATCATATTCACCGATCGGCTAGGAAACGATCGCATTTTTGGCACAGCAGCTGCTCCACACTCTCGGTAAGTATGTAGCCCGCTTTGTAGACATCGTGGAAAGCCTCTTGTACAATGCTGAAAACAGAAGATGCTAGCATGAAGACAATATATCAATTTGTATAAAGTCAATTCAACTAACTCGGTTTGCTCCTGGGTGGTGGTGCGTCCAAAGTAATCAAAACCAATGCCGAACCAGCGGTAAATGGAATTGTGCAGCTCGAAATACTTGTCGCAAATCTCACGCGGCGTCATATTCTCGGCCAGAGCCTTATTCTCCGTGGCCGTGCCATACTCATCCGTGCCACAGATAAGCAGCGTATTGTACCCAGCTGCACGGGAGTAGCGCGCAAAGATGTCGGCGGATAGCACACAGCCAATTATGTTGCCCAGATGTGGTACATTATTGACATACGGCAGGGCTGAGGTGATGAGCACATTACGTTCTCCAGCCTTTGGCAGCACAGTGCGTGCTTCGGCTAACTCCTTTGGTTTAGAGTATGTGAAGGCAGCACGTGCCGCATTGATCTCCTCGTCCGTAATGGTGTCTGCCACGGTGGGAGCTGTTTCGGCCAGCAGTTTGCCAGCATCCACCGAGCTGGAACGCTTGAGCGGCACATGATGAAGTCCACCATAACGATTTGCCTGCTGCAACGCATTGAAGCTAAGCTCCTTTAAGGGCTGCTCGCCCAGCACTTGTTGCACCTCAGGTAAAGCTTTTATTTTGTCGTACCAGCTGCGCAGATTGTCCACGTGTTGGGCACCTTTGAGTGTGCCATCTGGCGCCAGTAAGCACCAGATGACTATGTCCGCAGCGCTTAGCTTATCGCCCGCCAAAAAGGGCGCGTTCCTGAGGCAATCGTCCAGCTTCTTTACGAGACCATTCAGCACAGGCAAGGCGTTCGGATCCGCGCGATGACCGACGGCCATATGATGAGCCAGCGCTGGCGCCAACAGTGTTGTGGACCACTCTAGCCACTATAATTAATATATATTAAAATTAATTGAATTAACCTTCTAGGGGGCAACACATACCTCGTCCCGCTGTTGACCCTCGTCGCCCAGTAAATATTTGGCTATGGCTGCCGTGGAGAACAGCCGCAAACCAGTGTCCAGTTCGAGCGTAGGCAGCACCAGCAAATCCTTGTACTTGGCATCTGCAAGTTGCAAGCATTGTTGCATCAGTTAACTGTTATTCAGACGTTGCACGTTGCCGGCTCGCGGGGATTTTTTTTTGACTTACCATTTAGGTTAACCAACTGCACTTGGACCGCCCGCTTGGCGAATTTGGCGAGCATCAGCAGCTGCAGGCCCAGCGGATTGCCCTCATTTGTGTAGATAATCATTTTGCAATGGCAATTGCAGCGTTCGAAACTAGTTTAAATCAATTAACGTGGCAAAAACGGGTTAATAAAAGCCTCAGATCGCCTTCGCACGCGTATTGTCAACTATATGCATATATTAGGAATGAGCAAGTAGGCGATAGCTATCGATTGGAGCAGCGCACGCCTAATTAATTGTTATCGGAACTAAACAAACGAAACAGCTGTTGGCGACAGATGGCGCCAGTCAGCGTAAACAGTACGTAAACATTTTGTGTGTGCTTCGAAAGAATTTGTGCATTCTTATTAAAATGGGCGAACGAAAGGGTCAAAACAAATACTATCCGCCCGACTATGATCCGAAGAAGGGCGGACTCAACAAATTCCAGGGCACTCATGCGCTGCGTGAGCGCGCTCGCAAAATCCACCTGGGCATCATCATCATCCGCTTCGAGATGCCCTATAATATCTGGTGCGATGGCTGCAAGAATCACATCGGCATGGGCGTGCGCTACAATGCGGAAAAGACCAAGGTGGGCATGTACTACACAACGCCCATTTACAAGTTTCGCATGAAATGCCATTTATGCGACAACCACTTTGAGATCCAAACAGATCCCGGTAATCTGGACTATGTAATACTATCGGGCGCGCGACGGCAGGAGAACCGCTGGGACCCGCTCCAGAACGAGCAGGTGGTGCCCGAGACCAAGGAGGTGCAGAAGCGACTCTTCGATGATGCCATGTACAAGCTGGAGCATCAGGCCAAGGACGTCAAAGCGGCTGCCGATGCCAAGCCTGTGCTCCAAAAGCTGGTGGAGCGTAATCAGAGCGTATGGGATGACAATTATGTGGCCAACTATCGAATGCGTGCAGTATTCCGCGAGCAGAAGAAAGAGCTAAAGGGGCAACAGGAGGTGGATCGTCAGCTGCTGGCAAAAAGCAGTCTGGACATCGCGCTGTTGCCAGAGACGCCGCAGGATAGAGAAATGGCGGCATTGATGAAACTTCAAACCAGAAGCGCCATGGAACGCGAGTCGGAGCAGCGCCTCGATCTGCTCATGCGACCAGCTTTACCAGGCGCCACGATAACCACATTTGGCGGTCTGAAGCGGCAAAAGGCGCTCAGCACACAGCTGCAGCTGCAGGATTTGGGCATTAAGCGTAAGCCGGCGTTGGCAGAAACAGCAACGGCAGGAGAAGAAGCAGCTGGAGGAACAACACTAAGAGAAGCATCAGCAGCAGCATCAGAGGATACATCTGAAGCAATAGCAGCCACAGGAGAATGGGCAGCGGGAGCAGCATCAGGTGGAGGAGCAGGAGCAGGAGCAGGTGAAGCTGCAGGCACAATAGAAGTACACAGTACAGCAGCAACATCGCCAGCTGCTGGGGCACTCAGCTTATTGGGCGACTATGCCAGCTCCAGTTCTGAGGAGAGCAACCCCGATCCCAATGATTGACAATAATGCTTTCTAATGCACACAATAAATGGAATCGATTTAATCCGCATAATACAACAGTAGTTCCTAAAAAAAAAAACAACATTAATACAGCCCTTCGTTCAGGTCATCAATGGCACTGTCCAGGCTATCCTCGCCGGCAGTGCCGACATTCTCATTCTGATCGGTCTTGTAGAGCACCTCGCAGACCCGATTGCAGAAATCGACATGCTCATTTTTGTTGATCGTTTCCGTGAGGAGTATCTCGATCTTGCGCAGCTTCTCATAGGCCTGATCGCGTATCTCAATTGTGTTGGCAATTTTAGTATTCAAATCGTCAATTTGGGATTCGAGAAAATCATTTGATGGCTCCTCTTTCATCATGGCGCGCGGCTTGATCGGTTTGGGCTGGACCGCATTGGCTGCCGATTTGATATTCTCCAGGCCAGGCGCCTGCGAGTCGAAGAACTTTTTGAACCATTGCAGGAACTCAAAGTTGTCCTGGAAACGACCCTTTATCAAGCGATCCAGCGGCACAGTTTTGTCCAGCTTGACGCGTGTGAGGGCGCCCTGAAAGAGCTTCATGTTGTGGAAAAATTCATGCTCCAGCTTGGCCGACATTTTGACCCGCTTCAGATTGATGCAGTTCGGAAAGATCATCTCCATCATTTGGCAATAGGCCACACCTGAAGCAGAGATTGAAGCTGTTTTATATCGATCTTTTGATGTTAGTTCTCACCTCCAGCTATGCTCACCCGAAGCCATCTCTTCGATTTTCTTAAAATGCCCATTGACCATATTGTTGACCCAGTCGAGCATCTGGTGGCGCGACATGTTCTCCCCATTGGCGCTGGTCAGCGAGACAGTTGGCTTCAGGTCGCTCATCTTGCACGTCTTTCGATCTGTGTAACTGTATATCTTTATATATGTATGTCAATAAGTAATATTAACTATTTACTGTAACACTTTTGCAGCTGCGGCTTTATGGCTTTCGGGAATTTATGGTTTGATGTACGTGTCCACGAAATGGCTTTATAAAAATATATATATTTTTGGTTTATATTTCTATATTAGTGTCGTTTTATTTGCAAATGGACTAAACTGGCAGTGCCTAAATCTGAATTAATCAAAATTTGTATTAAATTAATAGTCTTGTGACTTATTTTTCCTTGCTTGCTTTGCGACTGCTCTCGCCTACAAATTGGTATTGTTTAATCTTCAATTCCTTTTTAATTGAGCTTTTGACAGTGTGGCAACGCTGCCGCAAAGCGGCAGGATCAAATGACAGCGGCTTCAGCTTAGGTATCGATACCAACATCGATTGGCATCGATATACGATTTAATGTATGCACATATCAGTTATTCAAATTTATATTTGCAGCTTACAAAGATTTTATTTTAAATTTGCGCTCAACTTTCTTAACAAATTCGATGAAATCTTTGTACAAGACCTTGGGCAGCTCCAGGGCCGCAAAGTGTCCACCCCTTTGGTAGTAGGTGCTGTGTATTAAATTCTTATACTTGTCCCGCAGCTGCAGATCCAGAAACTGCATAATATCACCCTTGAAACGGGCACAACCCGTGGGCACAGACGTGGGCACACGTTCCAGCTGCAGTTGCCGCTGCTCCTTGGTATAGGCCTCTGCGTAGAGGCGCTGTGATGTCGTTATGGAGTTGGTCAAATAGTAGATCATCACATTATCAAACAGGGCGTCCAGCGTGTAGCGCTGCTTGAGTCCGCCGTCGGGCAGCGAACGGTAGCTGGCATTGGTCCACGTGGAGAACTTTTCGAGTATGTAGGCGGCCAGTCCGACAGGATTGTCGGAGAGCGCGGCGCCAACAGTGTCGGGCTTTGTGGCCTGCAGATGGAAATAGCCGCTCTCCTCCATTAAATATCTGAACTCGCGAGATTTGGGAAAGAAGAAATCCTCAAAGCCACTGGGCACAAACAGGCCCGGCCAGATGCCCGCCAGCAAACCCTTCACCTGCGATCTGGGACTCAAATTGTTGCACATATTCGAGTGATAGCCGAGCACATTTTCCGGATAGAGCGTGGCTATGTGCGAGCCCAGCACGGAGCCCCAATCGCCGCCCTGTATAAAGAACTTGTCATAGCCCAGACGCAGCATCAGGTTACGCAGCATAACAGCCACCTGAGCCGGGCCCAAGCCTGGTTTTGAAGTGCCCTGAGAATTGAAGCATATGAAGCATATAGGCGGCAATCGATTATATATTTATATATATATATTCATATCTACCTGAGACCAGCCATAGCCCGGCAAGCTGGGCACAATCACGTTGAATATGTACTTGTTATTGGGATCCAAATGACTTTGATGCAGCATGTGTATCAGGTCGTAGAACTCACGCACCGAGCCCGGCCAGCCGTGCAGCAGCAGCACCGGATAATGGTTCTTGCCCACCTTGTTCTCATCGTAGACCATCAGGTTCAGAAAATGCATGCGTAGACTAAATTACAGCTTATCAATTGGATGAGCGTGATAAGCGCTTATCATTCCGGCACTCACCCTTGAATTTCGGTGGTAAAGTGATTGAATTGCCACAGGAAGACCTCACGTTCGCGCCAACGCGGTAAGTAATCGTCGCGCCAATAGGCGACCAGTTCCTTTAGATAGTCGCTATTGAAGCCATATTCAAAGGCCACGCCCTCAAGGGGAGGTGTAAGGCGTAGCGTGCGATTCAATTGCTTAGCCAAAGCCTCAATGGTCTGGCGATGAGAGAGAGAGAGAGAGAGAGAGGAGAGAGAGAGAGAGAGAGAGAGAGAGAGGGAGGGAGAGAGAGAGAGAGAGAGAGAGAGGGAGAGAGAGAGGGAGAGAGAGAGAGAGAGAGAGAGAGAGAGAGCAGCATGAGAATATATATATGCTAAATAATGTCCTGGCAAATAAGACCTCAAAGTCAGGGAAAGCTCATTCTCACTTCAAAGCTTGGGTATCTGAGCGTTGGACGAACAAGCGAGAAGTCGCTGGCTCAAATTCAGCCTGTCTGATATTTTGACACGGGCAACGCCGGGTAACTTCTCTAGTTACTTATTATCACTTACCGCCTCTGGGTACATAAGACGATTGCCCACCACCTCGGAACTGTTGGCCAGATAGGCGGCATAATCTTTGGGCTGCTCCTCATCGCCCCACCATTGCTGTGGATCCAGCGTGGGCGCCGGCAGATCGCCCCACAGCTGATTCAGACGCTTATAGAACATGCCGCCGCCAATGGCCAGCAGCAGCACTAGAAGACGCGTTATGGTTGACATAGTAGGCAGCTCGTCGCACTTCCACTCCAGTCAAAGGTTCTCGTCACACTGACTCGCCCCGCCGCGACTAAACGGACAGTCATTTGGCTGAGATTGCAGTTGTTTTTGTTTTTCTTTTTAGTGATCGTCAAACTTCGCACACACACGATGATATGTGATTTTGTTTGTTTAACTGGGCTACATTTGAAAAGTCATTCGGCTTACAAATAAACTTGAGACTACATTTTAGTATAGAGCAGGAGCTTTCCCATGACGCATATGCCACACAATTTGGCCGGCTTTAAAGCTTTTCTCAAAGCTCGTTTTTGGCGTGTGTTGGGTAATTCTCAACTTTGCAAATTGGGGGTAATTTTAGATACAGCTGCGCGGCTAGCTAGGTCAAAAGCGCTTGGTCTCTAGTTTGAAGGGTATTTCAAGTACAGCAACTCGTTAGCGACAATTAATGAGTTTCATTTATAAATGAGAATCAGTTACTAGCTTAAATATTCAAATAAAATAATATAAAATTCTATACTATATCTCATGTAAATAAAGGGTATGTGAGAGTCGCACATGCCCATAACTTATCTATTACGACACTTTTGTCTAAGCTTTGTATGTGCACATATATGTATATACTATACTTAGCACAGGGAATTGATTGTTATGCTGTAGACAATTGTATATGTTATATGTTTCCGAGCCCATACTTTTCAAATTGAGACCTCTTTAGCATTCCGATAATGCCTATTGATAAATAAACAATCTTATCAATTTCAAAACGTTTTTTATATAGAAAATAAACAAAAGTTTTATATATTCCTTGTGCCGCTTCTTAAAGTACAACCGAAAATGGATATGGACTCATTCAAGTTTAGGGAAAAGCCTTCTTCACATATGCCACAAAGTCGTCATAGAGCTGCTGTGGCACCTGGAACGCGGGGAAATGTCCACCGTCGGAATAATGGGTGCTGTGTACCAGATTCGGAAATTTGTTGGCCAGCACCGAGTCCGGAGTGTGCGCGACCTCATGGACAAAGCGCGCACAGCCGGCGGGCGCCTTGATGGGCACACTGTCCACGTCGAGGCTCAACTGTGCGCTATTCATTGACTCGGAATACAAGCGCACGGATGTGGTTATCGAGTTGGTCACATAGTAGATCATAATGTTATCCAGCAGCTGATCATAGGTGAAATGCTTGGTCAGACCGCCATCCTCCAATTTCTTGTACTCTGGATTCGTCCATGTGGAGAACTTCTCGAGTATGTACGCCGCCAGGCCAACGGGATTGTTGGCCAGCGCCGTGCCAATGGTGTCCGGCTTGGTGGCCTGTATATGCGCATAGCCGAATTCCTCCAGGATCATGAAAAACGTGTCCCCCAGGCCTTTGTAAAAGTGTGCGTACTGGCTGTCAACGTAGAAGGACGGGAAGAAGGTGGCTAGCAGCTGGCGAAGATTGCCCATGGGACTGTTGTTAGCACACAAGTTGGAGTGATAGCCCAGGGTGTTCTCCGGGAACAAAGAAGCCAGATTGGCGCCAATAAGGCTGCCCCAATCGCCGCCCTGAATGAGGAACTTATTGAAGCCCAGACGCACCATCAGATTGCGCATAATCACCGACACCTGAGCCACGCCCAGACCAGGCCTCGAAGCGCCCTATATGGAAGAGGAGCAGTATTCAGGAGACTGCAACATGAAGCAAAACTCAGTTAAATCTCACCTGAGACCAACCATAACCTGGCAAACTGGGCGCTATAACCTCAAAGACATACTCGCTCTTATCGCTGCCCGTGGTCAGCAGTGGAATAAAATCGTAAAATTC